GGGGGGGGGTTGGGAAAAAAAAAACCCCCCCCCCCCAAAAAAAAAAAAAAAAAAGAACCTCAAGCCACCACTCCTTTTTCAGACCATGGCAGTGCATGAAGGCAGGGAGCTGCAGAGATGAGTGCTGCACAGGAAAGGCAGCAGCAGTGTTGGACAAAGGTATTTTCTGAGGCATGTACAAGCACACACCCCATGAATGAGTCTGGCAGCACTAGCACAGGACAGTGCAAATGCCTGACAGTGCCAGGGCAGAGCAGGACATGCACACAAATACAGACGCATCCCTGCACCCGCTCTGCAGCACCAGTACCACAGTGACAAAAGGAAAGGGCTGTGTGGCTCATGCAGGGCAATTCTGGCACACTAATTTAAGAGATGTTGGACAGTGTTCACACATGTGTGGCTGATGGTGAACCCATTGCTAGCTTGTACATTGCTAAAACAGAACAGACTTGGCAAAGGCTCTCACACACACAAGGCTGAGATGGGGGGGCGGGGAAGCAGTTCACTCCCTGCAACAACAGCTGGTTAAAGCTGTAACGGCAGAACTGGTACCCATGAAGTCCTGCAAGAAGTCATACAGGGTTGCAGCATTCAGCATAGTCACAGCAAAGAGCACACTGCAGCAACCACAAGTCCCAGGGAGAGAGGCTGTTAAACTGCTTGGAGCACTTCTGTGTGGACATGTGACAGCTACCAGGCAGCAGGGTAGAGCCCACTGCCTTCCCCAGTGGCAGGAGATGGTGAACAAGTATTCACAGGACAAAAGCAAAGGATGAGTGAAGCAATCGGCATGTGCCAGCATTAGCAGCAGTGTTGTCCACCCCTCAGCACTACCTGCAGCACTCAGCTGCAGAACAGCATGGATGCCAAGCATCCTGGTTCAGCGCAGGGCAGGAAGCCACATCAAGGGCTGTTAAACCCACACCACCAACAGGTCAGCCATCCCTCGATGCTGGAAGCCGAGGACCTGACAATGACCTGCTCACACTAACAACTCCAATAACATCTACAGGTTGCTCTGTGCCCTCAGCTGTGGGAGGAAAGGCATGAGACCAGGACTGGACATGCAAAACCACAAGTGAGAAAACCAGTGCGCAGCTCTTGACTGACCTGCAGGGACCCAAGCATCCCCAGAGTGCAAGCCTTCCCCACAGCAGCTGCCTATGGCACTCGCTGGGAGACCAGCTCTGCTGCCCCAGGCTGCACACAGTGAGTACTGCTCAGCTGGGGCTGTCAGTGTCACCAGCCTTAGAAGGGGAGATGTGCTGCGATGTGACAGGAACCCAGCAGCAAGGTCCTCAGCCAGAAAGCAGCTGCAAACTGTTACTTGCTGGAGAAACCAGACATCCTGGCTGCAGCCTCCCCTGCTCTATCTGGGGAAGGAAACCAGGTGCATGGCTTGCCCATGTCTCCAGACCACAGCCAGGGCAGTGTGGTGCTGCTCTGCTCCAGTGTGCAGCAGGGCAAAGGCACGCCAGAGCAGAGCAGGCACACAGGGGGCTTGTGTCCTCCCTGGCCTCAGCATGGTTAGCTGTCAGCTCCCGTCGGTGCAGATGACATTCACAGGTGCTCAAGGCACACCAGTACAGCACAGCCTAGACCAGCTGCCGCTCATGTAACAAGGGCCACCCTGGGCCCCAGCAGCCCTCAGCACAGGGGGAACGGCTCCCTCAGGGCCAGAAGCCAAGGAAGACAGGGGAGCTCCAGGGCAGCTGCAGGCTCCAAGACCTCAGGGCACAGCCCAGACCCTCACCGCAGGCAGTACAGCAGAGACACAGTGCCTTGCACACTTGTGCATGGCACCCCATCGAGAAACCCAAATAACAACAGTAAAAAAACCTCAGTTTATTTCCCTATAAAGGCAGAGCTTTCCTTTAAAAACCAGGTCATTTCACTTGTGAGAGGGTGTGGGGCTGAAATGCAGGGGCAAGGCCTCACTCACTCACTCCTCCAGGTCAAGAGCTATTGGTCCCTGAGGGTCATGCATGCCGAGCAAGTCCTCCACCATCTCCAGGGGGCTGCTCAGCCTCAGCTGGTCCCCAGCTGCCACCACAAGGAGCAAGGCGGGAGAAACAAGTGAGGCAGGTCAGACAGTGCGGTCCCAGGCACACTGGCTGCATCGTGCAGGCTCAAAGCACATGGGGTGGCTCTGCATGCACTGGGAGTGGGCAGAGCGAGGAGCACCGATCCACCAGCCCGAGCTGGGAGCAGGGAGCTGCTGCAGTTTGAGGTTGTTCATGCAGGCGGAGAGCAGGACAAGAAGCAGGTGTCGCAGTCTGTGCACTGCATGGCAGTGGTGCCAGCAGACCCCATGCCTGGTGGGCAGTGCCAGGGGCGGGGCAGGCACTGTATGGCCCGGGTGCAGGCACAGGGTGAATCCTGAGTGGCTGGTTCATTGCTGCAGAGATTTGGCTTAGCCCAAGGGAGTCTTGGGGCCAGCAGTCCTCCGGCCAGCTGTGGGGACGTCTCCAACCCCTCCCAGCCCCTTCCAGCTGTCTGGGGGTTGCCCCAAGCGGTAGCACAGTAGCTGTGCAGTAGGAGAGCTCACTCTGGGCACAAGAGTTGCTGACTCTGAAAAGCAGGAGGGAGGAAGACTCGGTCCATGAGGCATGTAGTTGGGAACCCAGCACAGCCTGGGAGGGGAAGCAGACCTTCCCAGGTGAGCCATCAGCCCCTCTCCCTGCAGAGGACATGCTGGGGGATGTGGCAAGGCAACACTGAAGGAAAGAACTTACCTGCTGGGTTGTGGACTCCTCTCCCCAGCTCCTCCATGCTGCTTTGGAAGAGAACAGAGCACTCATCATACCCCAAGCAAGGCCTGCTGAGAGACGCAGCATGCTCATTGACCCTGACAATGCAGGCATGGCACAGCAGTACCAAGCACTCACAGTGCAGAAGCCCCTAGCCCACTTGCTACCAAATCCTTTCCCCAGGCCAGCCTGTCCTGAGACTGCAAAGCCACATCTCCTTCCCATCAGGAGCCCCCATGTACAAAGGGCTGCCACTTCACAGGGCCACATGCATAACTCCAGTCTGTGCACACACTGGTTCCTGGCTGACAGCAGCTCAGACCAGGCTCAGCCCTGCGGCGCTGACAGACCCCAGCCAGGTGCCAGCTGCCAGGCACATGGAGAATAGCCACAATGGAATAGGTCTCTCACACCCACTACCACAGACACTTCTGCAAAGACCTACGGGTTAATCCTCCACTGCTGGACTGGTACCATCAGTTCCTCCCAAGCCCAAGACAGACACCAGCAAGCTCAGCCCCAGGCCCTAGTCCATGCAGAAGTCAGCATGACCAGGCCTCCATCCTGGCCCAAGCCCCAGGGAAATCAGTGGGAGGAAAGGGACAACTCTGAATCCCACCTGAGAAGCCCCTCACTACAAGAAAGACATTGAGGTGCTGTAGTATGTCCAAAGAAGGGCAACGAAGCTGGTGAAGGGTCTAGAGCACAAGTCTTACATGAGGAGTGGCTGAGGGAACTGGGGTTGTTTAGCCTGGAGAAGAGGAGGCTGAGGGGAGACCTTATCGCTCTCTAAAAATACCTGAAAGGAGGTTGCAGCGAGGTGGGTGTTGGTCTCTTCTCCCAAGTAACAAGCGATAGGACAAGGAAATGGCCTCAAGTTGTGCCAGGGGAGGTTTAGATTGGATATTAGGAAAAATCTCTTCACCGAAAGGGTTGTCAAGCATTGGAACAGGCTGCCCAGGGAAGTGGTGGAGGCACCATCCCTGGAGGTATTTAGAAGATGTGTAGATGTGGTGCTTAGGGACATGGTTTAGTGGTGGACTTGGCAGTGTTAGGTTAACGGTTGGACTTGATGATCTTAAAGGTCCTTTCCAACCTAAATAATCCTATGATCCTAAGCATGTCTGGATAGGCTGGCCTCGGCAAAGAGTGGGAGAAACAGAACAAGTAACATCTCTGCGTACATCCTGAGGGTCAGCATCTGTCTCCTACAGCTCCACTGCAAAAGCTGAACTGCAAGCTCTGCCCCTCCACAGCTCAGCTCCCTGTTCACTTGACCTCTCAGCTTACAGAGGCAGAGAAAGCAGCAGGAAGCTCCCCCTTGCTCCCATGCAGATCTCCTCCATGCTCCCACCATGGGCCCAGCAGCTCCCCTTGCATGGGGCGCAGAGAAGGAAACAAGACAGGGTTCACCAGAGAGATCCCTGAACACAAGCAGCAGCTCATCACCTACCCAGATAAGGTTTCACCGACATTATCATCTTCCTCCTCCTCTTCCTCCTCCTGGCAAACAAACAAACAAACAAACCAACCAAAACAAAAAAACACTATGACACCTCACTGCCTGGGCAGGTCTCTGCCAGGAGCGAGGCTGGACTGCCCAGAGCCTGTTCTGGAGCAGCAGGGCAGTCCCCAGCCCCTTCACAAGGCACAGTCACCCACCAGGCATGACACAGACAAAGGGTGCCTACAGGCAGTAGGGGGAAAAATGGCACCTGCAGTGCTGGGCTGCTGAAATCCTCAGGGCTCAGGTACACAGGCACACAAGGGGAGAGACAGACCACAGCTCTTCTCACATCCCCTCCAGCCAGCAGAGCACCAAACACAGGCTGTGAGCAGGGAACAAGCCACCAAGCTGAGACAGCTGCTGCACACAGCGCACCTTTGCCCAGAGACAGGAGTGGGGTGAGCACACCTTGCAGCTGGAGGGCCAGGCAGAGGATCACCCAGGAGCAGGCTGTAAGCAAGGATAACCCCAAGCACTGCCAGGCTGGGCCAGCGCTGGGAAGCATGAGGCCAAGGACCAAGTGTCCAGAGGCTCCTGGGCAGGGACACAGTGAGACTGGCAATGCTCTGATTGGCTCTGGACATGCAGTAGGTGTAGTGCAGATGGGCAGGGCTGAGCCTTAGCCCAGGCTGGCAAGATGATGACCAGACAAAGGCTCCTCTCCTTCAGAGACAATGTCTCACCCCTAGCCATGGCACCAAGTGTGCAGAGCAGGTCCCAGCTCCCTGTTTGACAGGGCCAGCAGTAATGCTGGGCCTTACAGGAATGCTGCTGGAGCAAAGACCACCTGAGGAACCACACCTGCCTTGTGAGCCAGACAGAGCACAGAGTGCCCCTCTTCATGTCAGGCCACCATGTGCGAGGGAGGCTGCGCAGATACTGACAGGGTCCTAGAAGGCCAGGAGGAGGGAGCTGCATAAGGGTTACTCTTTTCCTGCTCTAACGTGAGACAGCCCTGGGCCAGACTTGCACATACTGTACCCCAAACTGGTGTCTGAAGGGAGGGCTCCCCGGGGGGGCTGGCTCACTTGGTCTGCTGGGCTCACTGCTCTCCAAGACACATGAAGGGTGAAGGGGCTGTTCCTGCCTAGAGCCTGGGACAGGGCAAAAGCAGCAGTTAGTGCCTGCAACCTGGAGAAGGCCCAGCAGTGGATGTACAGGCAGGACTGTGGGCAAGGGACAGATACCCCTGCTGTGCTCGGAGAAGGGTGCAAACAAGGGTGGGGGATCACTGCTCAGGGCAGGTACCACAGGGCCCTGAGCTGTGCTACAGCTCAGCAATGCAGAAGAATTCAGCGTGGATAGCAGGGACACCCCACCCCAGCCAGAGATAGGGCAGGGTCCCCAGGTGGGGCAGCGGCAGAGAACACAACAACAGGGACAACACACTCCCTGCTTGCTATGTTTCACCAGCCAGGCAGCAAGCCATCTCTCCTCCACACAGCCCAAAACAGGGTCCCACACTGGAGACCCTGATCCCAGCGCTAGGCAGAGGGACATGTTTGGGAAATTCCTCCTACCTGCATGTGCTGCTTCCCAGAGATCCAGTGCCATCTGGAAGGCCTGGGCCACGGTCAGAGTCACAGCCTGGGCCTGTATACAAGAAAGAGGGGAATGTGTGCTTCCATCTGGGCCCTCAAGCCAAGACAACCCCACTGCCATGAGATCCGAGAGCCCCCCAGGCCCCCCTCGCTGCCCTTCCCTGCAGAGCACGCACACGGAAGGCCAGAGCTCAATGCTGTGTCTGCCTACCCATGTGGGCCAGCCATCCCCAAGAGGAGATCCCAGAGGAGCTGGGACAGAAGAACCTCCTTTTGCTCACCACCCACCTCTGCAGCATGTGAGCACACATGTGCTCCCTGGCTCCATATCCAGCTGAGGTGCACAGAGGTAAGGGCCTTCTCTCTCTGAAGGGGGAGAAGGAAGGCCCTTGCTCCCACCCTTACCTCACGGAGCCAAGAGCAGAAGGGAAGTGCTTACAATCTTCTTCTTGGGTGAGAGGAAGGCATGGCACTCCAGTGCCCCACTCTCCTGGCTTTGGGCAACATAAGCAAAGACTTTGTTCTGCAGCTTGTCTGTTGTGCAGTAGGAGATCCTGCAGGCAGAGAAGAGCTACTCAGGGCAGTAAGGGACCCCAGCACAGGTCTTCTGCTGTGCTCCCAGCACACCAACAAGCAGTGCTGACAGCCTGAGGCTTTCATCTGCCCCAGATGATCAGGCAGCCCAACCGCCCAGCAATGGCCAGAGGCTGCCTGGCACCTACAGCTAGTAAGAGATCACTGCATCCACAGGCATTCCCTCCTGCATTGCCTCAGTGTGCTCCTCGGTCCTCTGATGCCCAGTTCAACCCCAATGTATGAACTCAAGCACTGAGACAGAAAGAGCACAGAAGGGTGGGTGATTGCCTCCAAGGACACGATTGGAGGCCAGGCAGTAGGATGGTCTGCCTTGGCACATCAGCTCTGGTGCTGAGACCCAAATTTTGCACCAAGGAGATGTCCTGTCTCTGCTTCCCATCTAGACACCAGCCTGCAGCCACACTCCTCTCACACCCAGCACCCACCGACACCCAACCCAGCCAAAGCACAGCTGGCAGCAGTAAAAAAAACCCACATCAGCTCTCACAGCAACTGCCTTTAGCCAGTCTGAGCAAGCTGCAGTCCATGGCACCCTCATCCCATTGCACCCAGAAGGGCAGTCCTGTGTCAGTGTAGAGAGCCAGACATGCAGTCTGGCAGTCCTGCCCTAGCTGTGGGGGCTTTCCAACCATCAGCCTCGACACCCTGCTTGAATGTCAGAAGAGACAAGCAGGGCCCAGGGAAAAGACAGATAGACTGACCCAGAACTCAAGGCTGCCCAGGACCCTGCCTGCATTCAGCCCCAGGCAGTACTGTGAGGCACAGCAGGGAGGTGGCACGGGCCTCAGGGAGCCAAAGGAAGACCTAAGCCTGAAGGTACCACTGACAGAAGGCCCAGCCCTCCCTGGCTGCTCAAGATCCCATCAATCTCCCGCTGGCTGCTGGGGAACACCCAGGCCCTCTCCACATGCCATGCCCACCTGTAGATGGAGATGTTCTCAACCACCTCCTTTGTGTCTGCATCCTGCAGCGAGATGCCCCTCGGAGACACTGTCAGAATCACCTTCTGGAACTTGCGAGCTCCCACCCGTGCCTGGCAGTTGGGAGACACCAGACACCTCTGCAAATCTGGCAAGGGTCTTCACCCCCCCCTCACTGGCAGGAATCCCCCAGACTCTGTACAAAGTGCCACCCACTTGGACCCTTGCTGCAAAGGCTCCTGCTGTAGGGATGGGAAAGCAGAGCCTAGAGATCAGGCATGACCTGCATAGAACACCCCTGGAATCTGTTCACGCTACTGCCATGCATACGGAAAAGGACAGACCCCACCTCCCCCAGTACTTCACTCTCCTCTCCATGCTGTGACAAGCACAGCTCTGCTCCTAGCAGTGTTCCCAGTGTGGGAGGAGGCAGCGGCAACTGTCCTGCAGGAAGACAACTTCCCCCACAGCACACAGGCAGAGACCAGCCAGCCTCTTGCACACCACCCTCCTCTTGGGAACAGCATGGTCCCTAGCTGGGGTTCAGGGCTGGGACATGGACATTTCCTAGAGTCCAGGGGCTGGGCTCTGAATTGGCTCTTCTCCAACCCGGCACAGCAGGGCCCCAGGGCCAGCTCTCACCGTGGCAACAATCCTGCGGATGGCAGCAGCAGCCATGTCTTCTCCTTTGGGTTTTTCTACCAGCGTCATGCCTAGATACTTGAGTGTGAAGCACATCCCCTCAAGCAGTGGCTCCTGCATATCCGCCCAGCTCTCAGGAAGCTCTGCAAAGACAAAATCCCTTAGCAGCATAAGCCACATGCCAGCGGCCCTGTGGCTAGTCCCAGCAGAGCCACCCTACCTTGTCGCAGCTTCACTGCTCCCAGCAGCAGTGCTGCTACCTGCACTCAGCAGGGCACTCTCCTGGCTCTGTGACATTCTTGGAAGAGGAACAGAATGAGAGGACAGTTCACCCTCAAAGACCCTTTAGTCCTCCATCCCTGGAGGTACAGGCTCTGTGAGCACAGATAGTAAGCTCCTGCATATCTGCATAGGGCCTCAGATGCTGTAGTGTTAAGTGCTATCTGCAAAAAACTTGCATTTTCAGGTCTCGTCTATTTCACTACAAGCAGGACGTGCACTGCACTGTACTGCATTCATCTCACCCACTTAAGCCACTGGCACTCCTCAGGAACCCTCCTGAGGGTGGCAGCATGTGGCAGCATTTGCTGCCACACTCAGACCAAAATCCACAAGTTGTCCCAGTGTAACCAAAGCCAAATCCTCTGGTAGCTATCATCTGCAGCAGCAGGCTGCCAGGGAAGGGGTAGCTTGTCCAGCACTCATGGTCCAAGCTGAGGTGACTGTGAAGCAACTGCACCACAAAGATTCTGTGTTAAGGAAGAGCTCAGAGTGGTATTTCAAGGATGCAAACTAGCTTCCAGGAAAGCACATTTTATGGATAAACTCCAACGCACAGAGGGAGGAGGATCATCGGTTGGACTCGATGATCTTAAAAGTCTTTTCCAACCTAAATGATTCTCTGAGAGCTCCCACATGCATTACTTTTCAGGTCAGAGAATTAAAGGGGCACTGACTTCTATTTTCTGTGTCCTCTCTTTTCAAACCCCATTGCTGCAGTCAAGAAAAAGAACTAAATAAAAAAAAAAAAAACCAGAGTGTCTGTTCACTCAAGGAAGATTCTCTATGGACAGTCCTCAGCATCTCCAGCTTCCTTCAGAAACCAGTCTGTTCCACCAGCATGTTCTGCCACACAGCAGATGTGCTGGTAGGAGAAGCAGCCCTGGCTCTACAGTCAGTCCTGACACCACTACTGTTGGCAGAGAACACACAAAGCAAGCACCGTAGAAGCATCCATTTGACCTCTGCTCCTCCAAGACAAAGCCATTGGCTTCAACAGAAAGTTCACTCTCATCGAAGGCAAAAGCTTTAGTTGTCAGACTAGTGTGCCATACACAAATGAACACTTCTCTTGTGCCAAGCACTTCCTGGTGATAATTTTCAAGGAGAGCTGAAGCAGATATTAGCACACATTCACTTTCCTCAAATCCCAAAGGGCACAAGGATGGTGAGAGGAGATACACAGAAGGGCTAAGACACAGGGAATCACAGTCTCTCTCTTCTTCTTGGGGATTCATCCCACAGAGGAGGGAAGGAACAAGAACACAGAAGTTACACACTCTGCTACAAACACCAGGTTTGTACACTTCCCTGGGAATTGCCTAGGTATTTACTGTTCACACTAAGCTAATACTTTTCAGGGTTATTTTTCATCTGTTTCTTGGGATTAGCTCCCTGAACATTACTGGCACACTTGCAGAAGGCTCTGACTCATAACTGGAACAACCTGAACCCACAGGGAAATTGGGAGACCTTATTTGCACAGCATACTCCTGCACAAATTACAACTACCAGGGAACCCACTTGGTATCATGCAGGCATCAGGGAGAACACTGTCTCACTCCAAACTTTGAGAACAGCCCACATGTGCTGGGGCTGCCAGAGTGAGCTCTGCTGCTCCAATAAAGTCTTTGGGCAGCTATGTCTGAGAAAGCCCAGGCACAGCCCTCCTGCTGGGTCTGTGGGGTCAGTCTCGGATCTGGCTGTGCCGCAGACAGCATGGCAGTCAGTCTGCAGTGAGCAAAGTGCAGGCCTGCCACACTCACTGCGTGCATGTCCACGCCTGCAGAGAACCAGGCACAGTGGTTCGGGGAGGCCAAGGCCTGCACAGGCTGGGGAGAGTACCCACAGATGGGGTACAGCATGTTCCAGCACCTGGCACCGCCGGCACTGCTTGTCTCAGCTGCCCAAGGCCTTTCAGCCCACTGGTGTGGGTGGCCTAAATTCAAAAGTGGGGCAAGAGGCTGGCAGCCAGGGGAGCGTGGCAGGGAGGGCCAGGCAAGCAGCCCACAGCGCTGCTGCCACATAGCCTGCCCCCAGG